TATATATATATATATATATATATGAACATATATATACACATACACAATATTATCATATATACTTTTTATCAAGACTGCATTCGTTCTTCTAATATACACACGCATCTGTGGAATTTGTATATTGTTATATAAAACTTTGTATACTTGATATGTGAAAAAAAATATATATATATATAAAAGTTATTACAAAACAAGTTGCACATGCCAAGTCATTTTTCGAAACATATTGTACGATATAAACTTACGCACCGCTTTCGCAAATGTTCGTGAACACTTGTGAGACGCAATAGAGGATCTCATCAAATCGTAAAATTCCGTTGCTTCCGAGACAGTTGTATTTCCATAAACATGATAGCAGTGTACGTACGGTAGCGTAAATTGAATAGATAGCCGCCAATAAGACATCGTTTTAATTACATTTAAAGGAACATTTAAGGATTAAATATTTATGGAAATTAGAATACTGCGTCATCACGATGATATATAAAGTCCAAGTTTCGTTGACAAAGTTAGTCCTAGGCCGCTGTTTCTTCATTGTCACCAGAAAGTCTCCGATATATTATTCGATATCTTTATATCATTAACATTATCTTTATCAATATTTATTACAAGACACTACAAAACACGGTGAGATTTAAGAATATTGGCTATAATACGACGTACTTACAAGCTATGCGAAAAAAAAAGAAAGATACACTATAATTGTAACTAAGCTGAAAATATAACTGCATCAGTGATGCGTTGCGAAAGAATGTCCCACTTCCATCATTTGACCAATCCCGGTACAAACACATGCATAAACCGGGGTCTATAATGAGAATTTAAGGCATAAGCCTTAAGAAATTAACCGATCACCGGTCGAATATGAGGAATATAATCGATTGTGATTAGTCTATTTCTTAAGGCTTATGCCTTACATTCTCATTATAAATCCCGTTTAACATATTCGTGTAGCCAAGCGAAGCTCTCTGAAATTCACGTGACTTCGGGAAGCGATATGAGACACGAAAGAGTTCTTTCACGCGATTCAGTACAGCCAGCGAGCTGGAGACGACGATCGCACTTTGAACATTTTATGATCGCTTTTCTGCACGGAGGCTCTGTCGCTCTGTCACTCTTAACATTAATAAATAACCAAAGTTTGGGTAGAAAAGTAATCATACATTTAATATACAGAACAGTAATCGCACATAATACGAAGACAAAGACATACGAAAAATATTATGCATCGTGTAATGGATGCTATTAAATGTCCAAAGAGCGATCGCTTTTCGACTGTCCCGAGCTCGCTAGTTGTGTTACGTATGAAGAAGCTCACTCTTTCGCTCCTTTCACACCGCTCGGTCGACCGACATCACTTTCCGGAGTCTTTCCAGTAAATTTCAGAAAACGTTCGCTTAGCCGTCGGTGGGGGAGCATTCTTTCAGAATGCATCACTGAACTGCACACTCCTCGTAATTTCATTAATATACAGGAAAACAACGAAATACGTTACGTTTAGTATATGGTGGTAATGTGTGTACACTTGGCTTTAATACAGTTTGAACATTTTGGAACACCTAGTCCGATAGTCCAATGAGAGATACTCGTTGAACGATACCGAGAAGTTTTCCGATTGCACTGAGTTTTTGGCTGCGTTCCGAGCTGCGTCCAAAAGAAAAGAGCCCAAACAAGTTTTGAAATCGAATACACGATGACGTAATAACTATGTACGGGAAGGCACTGAGTACCAATTGTAAGGGCTACGAGGATTGCATCGGTCGAATTGAGATACAATCGAGATCGACGTAGCGGGCATTCGTCAATTCATCAAGGCCCTTCCACTCGCGACAGTCTCCTCGGTTCTCGCGCGCTGTCTCGCAGGAGGCTGCGGGAGCCTACTCGTCCGTGAGAAGAGGATGAGAAGCGGTCGTGACACGACATGCACTGCGACAACAACTCCAGTCCGATTACGTCACTGACCGCGCGCGCGTATACACAACGCGGCGTCTAATTAAAACATTAGACGGCGTGTTGGCGAGTGTTGAAAGACGATTAAGCTCGAACGGACTCAATAACTTACGATCTGGCAGGATTACTTTGTTCGGGGAACAACGAGTCGTAGCTGGGTGGCAAATCTTTGTCCGCGACGGGGGAGGAGACCGCGACCTCCAGCATGGGGGCGGAGGGTACAGCGCGACTGGCCGACCCGTCCGCGTCCGACGGCAACGAGCCCGGCCGCGAGCACACGTTCGGCCCGGCGCAATCCGACGACCAGCAAAGCTTCTGCGAACGCTTGCAGATCCACAGGCACATGACGAATATGATGAAACACAGAATCACGGTGGTGACCGCACCAACGGTTACTTCTGTGGTGCTGTCTTCCCGGGACAGCACGTCCGTGTTCGGCGGGCAATCCACTTCGTCGTTGCACACGGTGTCCCAGCAGTTGTGAATCCTGTCGCAGATGTACTCCTTCCGGATGCAGCTGTTATAGCGGACTGGCCTGAATTCATTAGCATCCACCGTCCCGCACTCTGTAAGTGGATCAGTTAATGAAATCTGTAATTTGTGTCCCTCTGCGTATGTTAGAATGATAAATGTGTTGAACGTACCTCTGTACGGAGTATAAACTATTTTCAGATCCAGAGTCTGCCCCTTCGGTACCTCTTCCTTCGAGATAAATATTTCAGTTTCTAGTTTCCCCGACGAGGATCGGCCGTGAATTGGTTCGAACTCACTGTAAATGTGATCATGCAAGGAGACGGGAAACTCAGAGTAGGTCAGCGAGTTGAGTTGCACCTCTCCGCAGAATTCAGATGTCTGGTGACCGTCACTCCTTTTAAACTGATAAAGTATCTGTTAGAAGTCTAATTTTATGAGTAATGATTGTTATTGCATCACTTAAGGTACAATCCGGCGGTGGATTCTTTGCTCTACTATCAAAAATCTCGCGTGAATCTCTCCAATGCAAAATACACAATGAGCACATTTCTTTCTTATGTGCAAAAATTGAATCTACTCGGTTCTGACAAATTTCATCAATTGGGACTGAAGCATTTAGCACAACAATAGGTTTTATCTACTTCCTGAAACAATAAGCTGTGAAAAGTTCAAATTTATATAAACTTGTAAAGTACTTAAAATTTGAGAATTTTATATAAATTACAACAGTATGTCGTTAGGAACCTTACATGATGCATAACAGTTAAGAACTAAGTTTGAATTAAAAACAAATATTACTATTAAATTCAACATCTTTGATAATTTGTACAGTGGGACAAGTTCCACAAGGTCAAAATTGTCTCATTATTTAGTTTCGTTAGTTGCCTACTACAAGTATAAGAATACTACGAAGAGATCACAAATAGAAAAACTAAAAGCCAGATTCTTTCAATATAGAATCATATCAACATAGGTCCGGCTGTACCAGAGGAAGATACATATTATACAGTTCGCTTCTAAATCACTAGCTGTAACTTACTCGTACGTAATCCAGGCAAGCGCCATTATTCTTGCGTCGGAAAAACATGTTGTGAATGACAGCGAAAAGACCCTCGCCCTTGGCAGTTCTGAAAGTATACTTGCAGTAGCGGTCTAAGTTGACGACCCAGCGATTGAAGAAGTATTTGGAATTGATGATCACCGCTGATGCATTGCGTATGTCGTGCAAGTGACTTCTGTTTAATGGATGGCAGATTTTGTCGCTCTCAAGAACATCTGAAATGGAGAGAGAGAGAGAGAGAGAGAGTAACTTGAGTGAGGCTACGAGCAAAACACGAAAGATCTCTCGCGATTTTTTCTTTCTATCTCGATTCGGCGGAAACTTACACTCCTGGTAATTGCCATGCGCGCACCAGCACAGGTGCGCGATTATACTTGGCAATAGGATGAGCAGATAGATGTTGTCCAGTTGATGGGCCATTTTCGTAGCGGCAACGGAGCCGTGTCACAAAGCCATGAAGAATGCGCGTGTGAGGAATTGCGTGGCCGGATGAAACGCGGTGCGGTGGTGACGAGACGCCGTTTACTCCGCGCCGATTCTGCGAGATTTTTTCTCCGTGGAATTGAGCGGCCGGAGCCGATTCTGTGTCGTCGTTACCACGAAGGTGCATCACCTTCCCGGGGTAGCGACGAATGAATGACGACGTCACTCTCGACGTCTATCGGCTTCTCTCAGCTGCACCGAAAGTGTAATTTTGTTGTTCTTTTCGTCAGATCTTATATTAGGTCTGTTCGTTTTCGCTGCACCGCTGAACTAGTGCAGTAAGTTAAAGTGAGAAAACTATTGTGCAGTAAGTTGAAGTGAGAAAAATATTAAGCGAGACAAGTATATATTTTCTCACTTCAACTTATTGCACCAGTTCAGCAGTTCAAATAAAAAGAACAGGCTATAAGATCGCCTTAAGTTCACCTTCAGATGAACTCTACGGCTCATTTCATTGGTTATGAAGCGTCGGAAGGTGAATTTAAACGATTTCAAGTGTGAGATCTGACTGTGAATACTGTTTGAACGCTTTCAACAAGCGTTGAACGGTGAAGGAATAAAGATGAGTGATAAAGGAGAGTACAGAAAGTGCATATCGAAGGAACAGTGCGTCATCGGACGATGACGTTTTCAATTCGAGACATCGATCGCGCGAGATCGAGATATCACTATGGTTTATTCAATTGTTTCATCCTTGTGATGTCTATTTTTCCATAACGATGATTCACGGGGCACGTTTAATTTGAGGTGATTGTCTTGTCGGAGAGAGAATAATTGATAATAGGATAACTGGAAGCAAAAGATGCATAGTTATCGTGAGGCACCAAGTAAGGAGATTCATGTAGATTTTGGAGAAGTGCAGACAGATGCCGTAGCTGTGAAATGGATAAAGATAGTCAACGAGAGTTGGGTCAGTATGTTAGCTTCCTCGGACAAAACGAAAAATCGCTATGATGTCAAGATAACGTCAAAATGACGAGAAAATAACCATAAAAAAAACCCACTTTTCAATCACGATTCGATCATTATCTCATCATTTTGACGTTATCGTGATTATCTGTTTCGCCTGGGCTCCCCCATCGTGATTCGAGTTTCATCGTATTAACGCCCGAATTGGTCTGAAAGTCGCTAGCACAACGAAATTGACTTTTTGGCAATTCCATGAACGAGTTGATTAGAAATGAAAAGCTACAAACTTTGTAATACTTCTTTCACAGGTAGAGCGAGTATACGAAGCCCGAAGGGACACCGACACTAATCCTTTGGACCATGTGTTCGAATTGAGCAGTTATTCGTGGACTTTGCCTCCCGGCAAAGTATACAAATGCAAGATATATTACCGGCCGTTCGTACCGTCCTCTGTAAACTTGGATTACTTTACGATTGTGGATTCTAATCACAGCCATGTGGAAATTAAAGTTCGTGGCATATGCATCGGTATGAAACACACAACTTACAATTAACATAAAATATTTTACATGTCTCAAAACACCTTAAAAATGCCTTAAAGACGTCTTATATTACGATATCTTAAAGATATCTAAAAGATGTCTGGATTTTAGACATTTATGTCGTTTGCGATTTTACTATCTAAAAAAATAAGGGTGAAAAGGTAGAAAAATAATAACTATTAACTTTTGAAAATATGAAACGCTCTGCTTAATTGCGTCATTCGAATTATAAATAGGTGTGAGCCATTAATTATATAGATATTATGAGAACGATATTGTGAGGCTTGCGACAAATTGATATCACCATATACGTAATATATACATATATGTAATATATACGTAATGATCTACGCAGGACCGGTAGTCTCGATCTCGACGACAAAATTAGCCATGATGTGCACATGCGAAGGCGCCGAGGCGAAGAAGCGCATCAGGCTCGTTAACAATTCTGAAACCGTGGCGACTTTCATGTTCGATATCGATCAAGTACAAAGGTCATTCACGGTAGACACGACGCACGGATATATCAAGCCGCATTCCCGTACATATGTAACGATCACTTTCGCGCCTCGGCGAAAAGGAACTTACGCATGCCGCCTACCGTGCTTAATTTTGCATCATGTAAATAGGAGACTGAAACTTTTTGATTATAATATTCGTTTATCGAGCACATAACGCGCGTACTTCGACAGGACATCGTCGTCTGTTTACAGTGTCTTCAATAATTTCCTTTCTAAATTCCGGCATGAATATATATGTATTGGACTGATTATGCGCGAGAGAAGGTCGTAAAAATGTTATAAAAGTTGATCATCTCTTCCGAGGTGTAGAAACCGATTATTGTAGAGCTGTATGGCTACTGCGGCGCGGCATTACGTAAAGCAGATGTTCAAGAACACTTTAATTGCCTCGCGAGATTAAAAAATGACTTCGAAGGATACATGAGCGATATTATTGTCATCACGCAAGATCTACCTGCAATATCTTTGTCCAAGAACTATATCGACTTCGGTCAAATTGATGTGACGGCGAAAAATGTCGCGCAGAGGATTCCGGAAACCTTATGCCTCACTAATCACAGCCGATCCGACATATTGATCAAATGGAACCAAGGTTCGTTATACATCAATGATCTGCCCTTCGATAGTGATCTTTCCTCACTGAACTCTATACTATATTGGAATGCTGGATGTCATGGGAGGAAACGGGCGAAACGAGACGGAGAAGTACTATTTATATCCTTTTCTACGCCGTACTATTCCAGTTGAAAATATCAGCTCATTCAAAATATCGCACTTGTGATTTCCGTAATTAATAAAATAATAATATTGCTGGAGAGAAACAGGATGAACGAAAAAACGTTGAAGTTCTGCGCCACAAAAAATGGCAAAAACTATAAACAATGTGGCTCGAACATCATCTTTCAGAAGTAAATTAGTACACTCGAATGTCTGTAGAAACGATCATAGAAAGTCGATTGATCAATCAGAAATCGCCAGACAGAAAAGGAAATAGCATTTATGCCACCTATCTTAATTATTCTTAACGTCTTCTTGACATCCAGGGTTGGTTGTTCCGATTTCTTGGTAAGGTTTACGTAGCAGGTACTTATTGGACAAACCAATCAACAACAATCGTTAAGATGACGTTTACCTAGCAGATGCTTGTCGGATAAATCTTATCAAGAAGTTGGAACAATCGGTCCTGGATGCCACGTTGAGAAATCGTCCAGTATTCCAGTGTAATATAGAGTTCAATGTCTTTTCGTTATAATGATACGGCTATGATAATAACAATAATCTTTATCGTTACGCAGATGTTGAGGACATTTTCCGCGTGACACCTGGTACCGTAGAAGTGCCGGCGAACCGGACGGCTCTGTTCGAAATCGTATTCGATCCCAACGGGAGAGGTAATAATTTATTCGCGTCAGAACTCGTCGGCTACGTTTTCCCGGTGCAACGAGGAGACAGTTATCACAAGGAGACATTTGCATTCCCCGCTACAACGTCCGTGCGATTGATCGGTGCGCGCATTAATTTTTTTCCCTCCACCTTTGCGTAACGTCGTGAGATTATTCGATTCGACAGGCGAGGTCAATTGTCTTATAGGTCGCTCCTTTCCTGCTTATTCCGACAGTTGGATTCCTCAGTACGAAGTACCGCACATAGTGAAAATGCCTCCCTGTTTACCCTCGCTTCCGGTCTACACCACGTTCGCGATCAAGAGATTCGGCCGTCTGCCGTTGATGTACCGTTTCATACCACCGGAATCGAGCCACTTTTTCGTGAAACCGATGATGGGGATAATTTATCAGTATTATGCGCAAAATGTACACTTTACATTTGGTTTCCGCCAATCGCTCAATTTATCGCGATACTCTTCAGAGATTATCAGATCATTGTGGTCGGGATGTTGCCCGAAAGCGACAACGAGCGCGTTTACGTGGAGCGTTGGGCAATTCGTTTCAATGGAAACGGTAGATCGGAGTGCTTCATCGATTTTCGGGGGTTTGCGGAACAGGCCAAAATAGCTCTCGGCGATCGGAACACCCTGAGATTCGCGCCGTGTTTCCCCGGCTGCCGATCGCTGCAGCGATTCTCCATGCGAAATGTCACTCGTCACGCGATAAAGTAAATATGCGTCTTGATATGAATGTTAACTTTGCCTGATACGTGGAATCATATGCACAAAAAAAATGGTCTTAAATTAATGATTGATATGAATATTCTCATACGCATACTCTGTACGAACGCAGTAATTAATTCCTACAATAATTCGCTAAAAAAATTATTGACATACTGACCAGTGACTGCTAGTATTTTTCCCAGTGATTATCAGTAATACTCTTCTACAAGGATTACTTATATATATGAGAATATTTTTATTCTTGATTTAAGACTATTTTTTGTCTGTGTATATGGAGATTAAAGATCAAGATCATCTATAATAAGAATGCCTTATACGAAGTGACAATTTTAATGATCAGCACATTTTCTATGGATTTTATTCGTTGGATTTTATCGAAAAGATCCTTTCAGACATATTTCTAATTTTCTCACTGATGTAAAAAAAAAGACCAAACGTCAGTTTATAATTGTAAATATTCTTTGTGATTGATCCCAATATTTTAGATATGAATTTGTTAATTTGACGCCCGAGCTTCGAATTTCAAACGTGAATGGAGAAATTCACTCGAATGACACTCTCACTCACGAGTGGGAATTTTGCCCCACAGTAATCGGAAGTTATTATTTCGACGTGAACTGCATTTTAACCGTACTGAAGGACGAAATTCCCGTCGGTACGAGAGTTTCCGTGGCGTCGCGCGTGATAGGAAGATGCGAAGTCGGCTTTCTCGAAGTAACTCATTAGCCTAATAATTTGTCAAGATGGGTGTATAAATATTAACGACCCAGTAAACATCAACTAACAATAACATTATAATAATGTTAAGATTTCCCACTTCACAATGTAATTGTTACATCCGTGAAACCGACGTCGAATTGACGTGGAATCGACTTCCTTACGTCGATTGCACGTGGATCTTCTCATCGGGATACGAACATTGTTAAGTGAGAAATTATAACATTGAGTTACAATATTACTGTTGATTAATGTTTATATGGAGGATTGATTTTTTTTAGTATCACTTTTGCGTATCCGCAGTCGGTGCCCGACGAATTGAATTTCGGAATTCAAGCGTACAAAGCCACGAAGGAATTGAGCTTCCTCGTGCGCAACTCGAGTCCTGTGACAGTCTTTTACGAGATGACGTGCAGCCATTGCAATTTGCCGGTCGGGAACGTGGAACAGGATGTAAAAATACATCCGTCTACGGGTGCCGTTCTCGCTGGACAAAGTGAAACCATCGTCGTCTCTGTCACACCTACTAAGCCTGGCTACTATTACGAGCTGTTTGTTCAATATTCCGCGAGGATAAGTCTCCGCACAAACGTTCTAATTCCGAATCAGATGCCAAGAACTATCTGTAAGCTGAGTTGTTTGTGCGTATTGCCCACTTTAAAGGTACGTACAAACCGCGTAGCATTATTTCAACGTATGACACAATAGAGCATCGTTGCGTTCGCTACAATATGTATACAATGGATCATGTATGCTTTATTATTTTCTGGATCGAAAATTTATACGATTTTCAGCTTTACGGATGTACATATATACACGAGGTCAAAACCCGTTACAAACGGATTATAATTCTATACATTCCATTATATGCAGATTGACGTGATTTATGTATTAAGCTTGAATCGGCGGTTACTTCAAGCTTGCTATATTACATACGTAATGTAATATATACATAGCGTATTACGTGTAACGTAATTAACAGAAGTAATTATACAGCACATACATAGTGTATTACAGTAATCGTTGTAACGGACAGGTGAAGGACCTACAGTATTACGGACCGTGTCCGGATGCGTTTAAAACTTCTTTCTGGAAGCTTATGAAGATAAACGCGTGTGTTAAAACATTTTCCGTGTAGTTCTCCCAATTTTCCACACACACGAAAACGAAAGCAAGACCCGCTAATTCTTTTTTTGCTGTACACCCGTAGGCTTAACAAGTTGTTTGAACACTTACAACCCGGAACGTCGGAGACGCTGCGTGTAAACTTCCCGGCGATGGTTCTGCAGGAGCCTGCCGTCGCTGTGAAGCTGCTCCTGACGAACGTTAACGCAGTGACCGCTTCTTGGAATATCAAAAGATTGCGACTGTGTTGTTCTTGTCGACCCGTCGTAAAGACTAAGACGCTCCCACTTCCACGCGCGCAGCGCGATTGCTTACACAGGAAAGTGTGCTCTATGCAGCCGCGAACGGAAAATCTCCAAGTACGATAATCTTCTGCATCACTACCGCTCCGGTTTTTTGAAGACGGTCGACAAAATGTTTTATGAACTCACGAATGACATGCAAAACAGCCAGGGAAGGACGCTTGGATATATCTGGAACTACGTTACGTAATGCTGGGAAAAACTGACGCGAAATAGCACGTATATCTCGGGAATGACCGTCATATTTTTTTAATTATGACGGTCGAAAATCTATCCAGGTCTGCAAATAAACTCCACCTTCTGAACGGCACACATTTTATGTCTCGGGAGATCTACTTAGGCGACAAGAACCCTCTATCAGGTTGTCGCTCGCGATTAAATGTAATTAACAACTCGACAGCTTGACAATTTACACAAATAAAAAATTCCTGCCGAGAGTCCCGGTGGCTTGTGTAAACAAATGACAGTAGTTTTACACTCCGTGGAACGATAGACTTTGGAGAAACCAACATTATGTGTGTGAATATATTTATTGAAAGGAGCGAATTGTGAGATATTATGCGAAATTTTGGAGACGCTAAATATATATTGTGTGACACGGGCATTCCTGAAGAATCTTTTCATTTCGAGCGATGTAAAGTTCTCCTTATGTGTGGAAGCTGATCCAATTATTCTTTCGATATTTCTCATTGTCGTTAATTTATATCATTCATTGTTGCCTATTTTCATGAAGGAATCTTATTTTAGGCTATATCCATTCGTAAAGGACGCTTTTTTTAGACTATCGAAATTAAGAATTCACGAGTTATGCTGAGAGATGATGAGTGCGAAAATAGATGCGAATTGAAAGACCGTTTCAAGGAGTTTTATTTAGATATTATGCAAAGATAGATCTGAACTCGACTCGATAATAATATTCGTCCGTATTCCAATCACATATTTAAATTAAACTTGTGGTCGTCTAGTCCTCAAACTGAAATAACTGTTGCACATGACCTGTATACGAGACGAATAAAATTTATACGGTTATATTTAACATTACACAACGTCGGAGCGTTTTCCAAGCATTTTGCTGCAATTATTTGAAGTCAGTTAGCAAACTTTACTGCATATCTTCATCTATAAATAAACATAGGACAAAATTTCACATTATTATTTACTTCTTTTATCCATTTTGTGTATTAGTTAGATGAAAAATGAACAAAACAGAGCACAGGGTCGAATTCGACCCCGACCTTGCCATTAGAGAATAAAAATTTTGCAAGAGGGAACATCGAGACCGCAGAAACGCTGAACTTACCGCAGTAAGATCGGGACGTCCCGCGTGCGAATTCCTCCCGTTCACGAAATCGCTCGTGGAATTCGACCTTTCGATCGCACGAAGACACCATCGTCTTCGACTCCGCTCATCGGGGATACTGCTCTCCCCGTGTTCCCTCTCTTTCCTTTCTCTTTCCGTCAGGAAAGCGAACACGCTACGAACAAGACGTAAAACGCGCGGCTATCGCCGGAAGTGCCGATGCGGTTTTGCAGCGTGTTGTATTCTCCTTCTTCTTTTCTCCTCTTTTTTTTTTCGGCGTGGAGTATTGCGAGTCGCGCGGCATACCGCAAGAAGCGAGCGCGCGTTGCGTACCTTCCACGCGTCACGGCGATTCGCCGTGCTTCGCCACACTGTGGAAACCGGGAATTTCATTGTTAATCCTGTTACGTAACGCGACGGTAGTGGTGGTGCGGGATATATGAGGTACGTGCATCGCCTCGTGCGTGCCACCACCTCAAATGACGCGTGACGGGCGGAAAAGCCGAGAAAGGCGGAGGCAAAGGACGAGAAGGTGGACGAGGAGAAAGAGAGCGGTCTCGCGGAGGAAGGATCCTCTCAAGGTCCTTCCCCGATATCCCGATAAATCCAGCGTTCCGGCCGATCATTCGGAGGATGAGAGAAAGCGAGCCCGCAATGCGCCCCGAGTGTGAGGGATTGCGTCAACGCGTAATTGCAAGACTGTGCGATACGTACGTTCATTCTTTCGTTCTGAAGGCAAGCTTAACGTCGTATGCACGTAAACCGCGTGCGGTCTCTTGTGCACGCGGTTCTTACGCCAGCTTCTTGTCTAGCCAGCGGCGTCCTCCAGCACGGGCGACCAAGGCTCGGCCGCTTGAAGTCTCCGTTCCTCGCGAATGCCGCGCTGAAAGAAAAAAGGGAACGAAATTTCTCAAGTCGAAGTTTTACACTGAGTCTTCAAAGGTCTTCCCTATTCGCGCTCCTTCAATGCTACAAATGGAATTGTTTCCGTTTCTTCGACTCGAAGACAATGTAGAATTTAACATCTCTCTCCGGGAAGTCTAAATTCTTTTTTGGAGCATCAAAAGTACACTATTAGTGCTCCTTTGATCCTGCAAATGGGAAGTTGCTTCTTTTTTCTCCACTGGAAGACTTAATGTAGAACTAAATAGACTTGGACCGGAATTTATAGTCGAATCTTTAAGACGGTTAAATATAAGATCCGACCTTAATGTAGGATCAAAATTTCGACTCGGGTTTGCTTAAACGGACGAAATTTTTCAAACACAACGTTTAGCCCATTAAACAAATTATACAACTACTGCAACGAGTTATCAATTGATTCAACAATTGCGATTTGGTTAGCGATTTTATCAACGCAACATATTGCTGCGCTAGCGTGTAATTTATTCAGTGGATACAATATTTTTTTTAACGAAGGTAATCATCGATTTTTTTCTCAGTGCACTCTCGTTTTCTCCCGAAAGAACGCGAAAACGCGTTGATTATCGAAGGACGAATGAAATTTAGGCACACAATAGAGGCGAGCAAGACAAGCCGTTCGTTAATTTGGTATAGAATTTTAAAATTGATACCACGTGACGAAATTCGAATTGCGAAGATAAATACGGGCCTTAATAGACGGAGAACGCGGAATTAGCCAAGCGGTGACGATCAGCTGCGCCGTGTGAAAACCAATGACGGGCGATTGATCGATACGGCGGCGTACGCATAATTAATTACGTGTCGGAGCGCGCGAATTCTACCGCGGTAGCGGCGCCGGCGGTCGACTTGAATCGTTTGTAACGTCGGGAACTATTGCGACCTCGACATTTACGTGTGCTGGAATTTTCGGTTCTAATTAACTGCCGGGGGTATGTTTCAGAATTGTTAAACGTAATTACGCTAGTAATTGCGTCGGCGAGACATGTAAATACTTTTTAACAATCGTTATATCGTAGATAATACACGGAGAAAAGTCATTTCGTTATTGTAGCGAAACCATCGTTGCTACTGCGTATTCGTTGCGATAAAATTTCGCCGGCATAACTAAATTAACGAATTATTCATAATCAGGGTGAAAACAGTTTCGTTTACCAGCATAGAAAATATTCTACCGAGTGAATTTCTCCTTAGGACACGTTAATTTGCTGTTGGAACAAAATAATATTTTCTTACATTACTAATTTGTCCTTACAGCAAAATAAATTTATAGATTCAGCAAAGTAATTCAACGAACGGCAGTTAGCGCTCTTAACAATTCATTTAGCTGGCCACACAGTAATCGACGGATCTTGCTGTGACAAGATAAAGTTTGCTGTGCCAGGGAATTATCCTTTTCCGCGTAGTGAGAACCTAACTTTTATTTTCAGTTCCGTCGCGGTTAACGCCGTTTTCGTGTTTAATTTCTCACCTCGTCTTTAATGACGCACTTCGAGCGGAGCTCCGACGAATTCGTTCCTAAATCATATTCTTTCATAAAATTTGAATCCGACCCGGCCGAATATTCATACCTACCGTTCGTCTCTCTTTCAGCGCGCGAATTCGCCGAAATTAGAGGGACGATTCGATCTCTTCGTATGTGCTAAATGCGAAATTTCGCAGTATCAAGTTAATCATGCCAAACGGCATTCTGAGAATAACTGTCTGCGCGTATCGACCGGCTTATTCCGAGAGATGTAACTCTCGCGTCGCGGGCAATTGGACCACCGTTGTTTTCGGCCCGAAAGCTTTGCATTTCCAGCGCTCGCGCGAGGCGAATCGGATGATTTTTTGACCGTGCAAAACTAGGATGCACAATTGCGCGAAGTACCGGTAACGGGGAAGGCGGAACCGGCGAAGTTTCCTTCGATCCCAAGTTTAATGGGACAGCTCATACGCGGCTGCTTGAGATTACACTCGGTCGTAAATCAGACCGGTAAAGCGCGCGGATATCAGCCCGACGGTAATTCGCCGGATGCTGCGCTCGGCTTTGGAAAGATCGCGCCTAACCAACTTGATTACATCAAAAGCGCGTATCGCGCAAGAGGCGGCATGAATTGGACGGCAGGCCGGCAGGGAATTTTCATTCCGTATGAAATTACAGGTGCCTACTCTTCCCTCGGCAATCACCGAAGGTGGGCACAACGCGGAAGTGCGTCTCGCGCTGCAAAATTAAAATGTCGTAAGAAGAGTTCCCGTTTCTTAATTTTCCGCAGGAAGAAAAATTCCCTCCTCTATCTCCCTTAAATTACCCGTTTCCTCGGGACACACCGGTACTCGGATTTATGGCAGACGCAGTCCGCATATTCAAATGAACATCCTTCGAATCACGGAATCTCCATTCGCGAATATCGCGTTTCTCGGAATGAGATTCTTAGCTCGGGTCGAAATTCTCGTCCTTGTTAAACTTTTCATTCTGCAACACGGTAAGAGCTAAGACAGCGAAATTCAATTTTTAATAATATTTTAGGCGTGTAAATTAATTCGGTGCTTTGATTATCAAAAAACCAAATTTTCTTTACCAACGAAAGGTGTGCAATTTCAATTGTCGAAATAATTTCCGTTATTACCGATGACTTTACAGCATTTATCGAGTAGCTGTCGCATTCCATTGCGATAGAAACTCGGCGGGTTTTTGAATCGATAAAGTTATCGATATATTTCCGAACATCCTGTATTGTTGCTATAAAATATGTGTCAGTTAAATGACGTTGCAACGACCGAAATAAGTGAAAATCTGAAGGATAAACGGGGTGCGGTATAACTTCTCGTCTTATATTAAAATCGGCGTCTTTTCGCGTGAGGTTTCTTTTGCCACGTGAGGTCAAACGTTGTCGTGGAGCATTCACACACACAAGCTTTCTCGAGATCTTCTCGAAATCTCTGATATTTCTTTTTTGGTTGTTGTATGATTCACTATATCTTTGCCAAGAGCTGAACAAATTACTGTTATGGTTTCGGAAACGTTTTTTGCAGTTGAAATGCAAAGAAAATATAGCACCGAATATGCGTTTCATCGATAGTAATACTTGCTTGTTCACTGCTATTTCCCAATCTTATATTGATCATTTTGCAATGTTACATGATGTTTTCTAAACATATATGACCTCGTTTTAAAATCACAGTTGAGCGGCAAAATGCTTAAATTTAAAATACTAGAAATGGATGAAATTAAAGGCACCGAATTAATTTATACGTCTAATAAGGAGTGATAACATCTAAATAATCGGGGCTGGCTAGGCAGTAATAGCAGTTGTAAAGCTGATGCTACGCCAATTGGTCGTGCATCATTCTTACGTTTCAAGATATAGTCATCGAATTGTCTGTTAGTTAGATGCATCGACCGATAAAGCAAATATTACAA